TCCACCTATGAAAGATAATCGAATTAACGTGAAACAAAAAAAGGAAAAACTGTGGAAAACAAAACACTAAAATAGTAATAAAAACATTAACCTCTTACCACAGTACAGATAAATTACTTTTGTCAGATCAAGGGTATAACGTACAAACAATACATACCATGTTTAAAAAAATACATTACACAAATAGCTGTAAATAACAAGTACTACTGCCAATAGGAACTAGGCTTCAATGGCATAGGAAGTGAGAGGACTTGCTCCCCTCACAATTTTCAATTTGTCCCAACAAAAATGCCTCAAAATTAGAAAAATTACTCTCAGGAAAAGCAGGAGAATGCATAAAATTTAATACAGAACCCAAGAGTTTTCAGGGCTTAAAGACAAGACCTGGTTGCTGGCTATAATGGAGCACATTCCGTTGGGTCACTTGGTGAAATAAACCTTGCCTCCACACACACACATTTTGAATTAGCTTCCTATAGCTCTGGGCTTGTATATCAGAAGTCAGTATTTCACTGAATTAAGCTAAAACAAGTGCAAACTGTGTTTATGAAACATTTATTCCTCACTGTATGCTTAAAGCCCCCCCATCATTTTGACTAATCTTCACCTTTGATCCATGTCCTTCAAATGTATACAAGGTTCAGAACATTGCATGTAGTGCCTGTTACATAAGTTTGGTCAAAATCCAGTCAGGATATTTCCTGTCCACAAGACCAATGGACCAACAAGAGCAAACCAACATGCCCTACTCTTCTTTGCAAACCCATTGGGTCCATAATAATTTTCACACGCTATGTTCACACACAAAATAGCTGATAAGAAAGTGCACATTTTAATGACCATATGTAAATTCTGAACTTGTGTGAAAACAGTTGTGGGATGTAGGTTGTTTTAATTACTATGTTACACCTTGTCTTCTTGTGTGAAAACAGTTGTGGGATGTAGGATGTTTTAATTACTATGTTACACCTTGTCTTCTTGTGTGAAAAAAGTTGTGGGATGTAGGATGTTTTAATTACTATGTTACACCTTGTCTTGAGTCCCAAGATAATCCTTGTAGAATACGCCAATAACTTGTACAAAATAACCTATAGACAATAAGAGACTATTTGTTTTATAAAGGTTGTCCTTGCACACCAACTAATGAAAAAAGAATATTTATACCCATCCTTTACTTTCAGTAAATCATCCATGTTTAAAAAGTGCATGGAATTAGAGCCTATGATGTATAAGTACATTTAGTATATTTTTAAACTACCTTGTTATTAAAGATTATAACGTACAGTACCAACCCCAAGTAACAAGTATAAGGAGACAATAAGCTAAGGTTGCTGGTTCCATAATCTGTACTATCTAGAATAATACTGTTGGTGAAGAAAAAATTAATAAAATGGGTACTTGAATACAAATGGAAGATTACAAATGAGGCATTTGTTTACGTCTGAGCAGAAATCAATCAATCACCTTGAATGTTGTTTTAAATCACATCAAACACACTTAAGCATGAGAAGGTGTGTGTATATATTACAGTTTCCTTCTATATGAGCTTTTGTTGAAACAACTGACGTAAGAGCCATGTACAAACGTTATATGCAGTTTTTTTTCTGTTTATGTGCTACTAGCTATGTAAGCATGTATTTATTCGTTCAACTATTTAACATTACTTCAACCGATGCTGTACCAAGATGTTTTGGAGGGTTGTACACTGTTATACTGATGTTACGTTGTTTAACTAACATTAAATCTATGTTGACAGAACTTTGGAACCAACATTTAGTGTTGGTGTGTTGCAGTACGTAAGTTATAATATATTATTTCTTTATTGTTACTTTTATTACCAGTATTGGTTAGAATGTTTAACATACTATATTCTGATATTTTTATTTTTGATATTATAGAGATTGTTTTGCAATTTAACTTAATAAATATGTATTTAGAACTAATATAAATCTCGATGAATCTAAGTTTCAAATGGACAGCAACTGCCTGTTGTAGAAACTTACAAATGTAGAGGACGACGTTTCTAAAGTCTTCCGCCTTTCGAAACGTCATCCTCTACATTTGTAGGTTTCTACAAAAGGCAGTTGCTGTCCATTTGAAACTTAGATTCATCGAGATTTATATTAGTTCTAAATACATATTTATTAAGTTAAATTGCAAAACAATCTCTATAATATCAAAAATAAAAAT